CAAAGGCACCAGTGCTGAAAAAGCGCTAGTCTGTACATAAATAGCAGTGTTACAACTCTATTCCTAGTTTTTGCATAGTTCCAGGGTGGGAGGGGCTCCCATTCCCCCATTTCTCCCGTCGTCCCTCGCCAGGAGCCCCTCGTCGTCCCTCCCCCGCCCAGGAGTTCCACTCCCCATCCTCTAAAGCCTCGCCAGGAACCCGCTCTGGATCCGCTTATGACGGTGTTGCACGTGGGAAGGAAACATTCATGTCAAATTTCAACTTCATAGCCTTTATAGTCCCCCGGACAATTTTTTTGCTAAAACTTTTGTGGGACTGTAAGTGATACTCAGGAGTACGGGAAAATGAATTTAAATTTCCTGGTTCGCAAAGAGACACACCTTAAAATTTCATTTTCTTAGCTTTCGCGGTTCTCGAGATAATAATTCTCCCGCCAAAATTTCAGAAGTCGTACGGGGCATAGAAAGGTTGAAATTAAATTTTCTGGCTCACACGTGAGCAAAGAACAACACCCACAAAATTCCAGCTTCCTAGCTCTCGTAGTTCCCGAGATAATAATTATCCCCGCCAAAAATTTCACAGGACCGTGTGTTACTCTTGGGCACGGAAGGGCTGAATTTAGATTTACAGAGTTGCACGGGGCAGGGAGCACACTTTAAATTTTAAACTGCCTAGCTTTTACTGTTCTTGAGTGGAAAGTGTGGGATAAAATCTCGAGCACACACACACACTCATGCACACAAACACACAGGCACACACGCAGAAAACCTCGTGACGATTTGCGTTTTGTGCTGCTATTGCACGGCGCGAATCTCATAGAAAAGATAAAATTTTTGATAAAACGTATTATATGGAATATCGAAATGGATTATTGGGCTAAAAACGTAATAACTTCAGACGTCATATTTTCAAAAGATCAGTAACTCTTGTTTGAGGAGGTGGAATGAATGTCAAAAAGGCTGGACACTAAGCTTAATAGTAGCGGTGGCCAAAGTAACTGGGGAAATCTGCCAGCTCTACAGCTGTGAATTAATGGCTTAACTATGACCACACTGTGAATTAATAGCTAAACTGATTCAGAATTAAATATAATAGCAAATCTAATTTGATTTTACGAAATTGCTGCATAGCTAGCTTATTTTGGCATTGTTCTAAAAAATACGTAGATTATTTTTAACGCTATCTTATAATATCTGAATTAATCCTGATATAAAATCGGCGTTCTGCAAAGTTTGCATACTTTACACTTTCAGAATATTTGGGCATTATTAAATCTAGTCATTAAAAGCAGCCCTGTGCGCTCATTTTATTGTAAAAACATTCGAAAGTGCAGTTTTTGGAAGCCAGTTCAAGATTTTTTGAAAATTAATTAAAGTTTTTCACTGGCTTATTTGTCTCAATCTGGAGAACTTCTAAAACACTTTTTCGATAGATCAATGTTTCGCAGGTGTACAAAGAGACGGGAATGGAATATAATCTGTGTATCTTAAAAATTTCGGTATTTCGTC